CCCAGAACTGGACACAATACTCCAGCTGAGGCCTAACCAGCGCAGAGTAGAGCGGAAGAATGACTTCTCGTGTCTTGCTCACAACACACCTGTTAATGCATCCCACAATCATGTTTGCTTTTTTTGCAACAGCATCACACTGTTGACTCATATTTAGCTTGTGGTCCACTATAACCCCTAGATCCCTTTCTGCCATACTCCTTCCTAGCCAGTCTCTTCCCATTCTGTATGTGTGAAACTGATTGTTCCTTCCTAAGTGGAGCACTTTGCATTTGTCTTTATTAAACTTCATCCTGTTTACCTCAGACCATTTCTCCAATTTGTCCAGATCATTTTGAATTATGACCCTATCCTCCAAAGCAGTTGCAATCCCTCCCAGTTTGGTATCATCCGCAAACTTAATAAGCGTACTTTCTATGCCAATATCTAAGTCGTTGATGAAGATATTGAACAGAGCCGGTCCCAAAACAGACCCCTGCGGAACCCCACTCGTTATACCTTTCCAGCAGGATTGGGAACCATTAATAACTACTCTCTGAGTATGGTTATCCAGCCAGTTATGCACCCACCTTATAGTAGCCCCATCTAAGTTGTATTTGCCTAGTTTATCGATAAGAATATCATGAGAGACCATATCAAATGCCTTACTAAAGTCTAGGGCCTTGGCTATACTTGCAGCTGTACAGCGCTGTGAGGTAAACCTGTCTTCGTACAGCTGAGTAGGGAAAAGCGCTGCAGTCTGTCCACACTGACAGCTGCCAGCGCAGTGGTGTGGCCACACTTGCAAAATTTGCAGCTGTGTTGGGAGCAGTGCATTATGGGCAGCTATCCCAGCATTCATGTGGCTGCAACGTGCTTTTCAAAACGGGGGGGGGGGGGGGGATTGTGACAGGGAGTGTGGGGGGAGAGAGAGTGCTTTTTGGAGCATGTCAGCTCTCTATTTTGCAAGTTCCGAACTCCCGGCCCCCTGCTCATTCATTTACTCACTCAAAGCAAGCTGCAAATTGTTTGCTTTTCTCTGTGGTAGGAGCTTTGACACTGGCACTTCCGCATTCCTGCAGCCGGTCACAACAATGGAGAGGATTGGCCACTTGACAAGGTGATTAGTACAGCGCTGCAAGCGTTTACACTCACACATGAGTCGTAGCCACTCCGCTGCAGCTGTTATTCCTCTCGGAGATGTGGAGTACCTGCAGCGGTGTACGGAGGGAGATACAGCGCTGTAAGTGCCCTGCCAGTGTGGACGGGGAGTGAGTTACAGCGCTGGGGGAGGCTTTACAGCGCTGTAACTTGCAAGTGTAGCCATGGCCTCGGTATACCACATCCACCACTTCTCCCTTATCCACAAGACTCATTATCCTACCAAAGAAAGCTATCAGATTAATTTGACATGATTTGTCCTTTACAAATCCATGGTGGCTATTCCCTGTCACCTTACCACCTTCCAAGTATTTGCAGATGATTTCCTTAATTACTTGCTCCATTATCTTCCCTGGCACGGAAGTTAAATTAACTGGTCTGTAGTTTCCTAGGTTGTTTTTATTTCCCTTTTTGTAGATGGGCACTATGTTTGCCCTTTTCCAGTCTTCTGGAATCTCTCCTGTCTCCCATGATTTTCCAAAGATAATAGCTAGAGGCTCAGATACCTCCTCTGTTAGCTCCTTGAGTATTCTAAGATGCATTTCATCAGGCCCTGGTGACTTGCAGGCATCTAACTTTTCTAAGAGATTTTTAACTTGTTCATTTTTTATTTTCTCTTCTAAACCTACCCCCTTCCCATTAGCATTCACTATGTTAGGCATTCCTTCAGACTTCTCGGTGAAGACCGAAACAAAGAAGTCATTAAGCATCTCTGCCATTTCCAAGTTTCCTGTTACTGTATCTCCCTCCTCACTGAGCAGTGGGCCTACCCTGTCTTTGATCTTCCTCTTGCTTGTAATGTATTGATAAAAAGTCTTCTTGTTTCCCTTTATTCCCGTAGCTAGTTTGAGCTCATTTTGTGCCTTTGCCTTTCTAATCTTGCCCCTGCATTCCTGTACTGTTTGCCTATATTCATCCTTTGTAATTTGTCCTAGTTTCCATTTTTTACATGACTCCTTTTTATTTTTTAGATCATGCAAGATCTTGTGATTAAGCCAAGGCGGTCTTTTGCCACATTTTCTATCTTTCCTACCCAGCGGAATAGCTTGCTTTTGGACCCTTAATAGTGTCCCTTTGAAAACATCTTGGATGCCACGGTGAGAGAAGCAGTAGTGGTAAAAATAATGATAATAAATAAATAATACCAATGCCTTGGATTTTCCATTTTTTGTAGGCAAGGCACTTGTGTTTCAACAGTTCAGTACAAAGACATTGATGATGGATTATCTTTGATCCAGTGTAAAAACTACTTAATTAATGGATACAAGACATCTCCCCATGAAAGTTACAAAGTCAGAGTAACCCATAAAAATCTCCTAATGAAACATCTAGAAAAAACTGCAGGGTTTCAGCAATTTTCTGCTGAGCGATAGGAAGAGGACCAGAAGTTTCATCATCCTTTATATATCCAAGACAGCCACCAAGTGCAACAAGGAGTTTCAGAGGTGAGAAGAAAAACATGATTTTCAATAGATGAGCTAATTTTTCATAATATACTTGTTCTTTGGCTCAGGAGCATGGGTGCCAGAAAAAGCACTATTAAATCTTCATTTGGGTGGAAAATCCCTTAGAGTGTATACTCCTTGAGGCACGGATCATGTCCTCCTATGCGTGTTTGTACATCAGCCCTCACAATATTCTGACTGAGGCCTCTGGACACAATAGCAAAATAAATATTAAATAAACAACACTGTACACACTGAACTATCATATTCATCTTAGAACAGCTAATGTTTGGGGGAACACAAACTTTTAATAGAGTCCTAGAATTTGTCATGTTTCACTTTGGGACCAGCCTAAAGGTGATCACAGCAGACTGAAGGCTGCTCCATGCCACAAAAATGACATCCTCATCATGTCAAGCAGTAACAAGCTTGTGATGGGGTATCCACCCCACACAAGGCAGAGGAGGCTGTTAGGACAATTAACCTGAAAGGCTGCACTTGGGGGAGAACCAGGGACTGAAGGCTAATTGATGATGAAGTCCAGCTGGGCAGGGGCAGGCTGAACTTGCAAACCAAGACCAGAAGAGGGCTCCAGGGGAAGAGGACTACAGTCACTCCCCTGGAACAAGGGACGGATGTTTGGGGGGTACAGTTTCTGGGAAGAAGTCACAGAGAGAAGAAGGAGTCCACGGAAATACTGACAAGCTATTTGGACCAAGCAAACCATAGTTACTAGACAGAGGGTACCTGGACTGGAACCTGGAGTAGTTGGCAGGCCTGGGTTACCCTACCAGACACTGGGGAAGTAGCACAGGATCTGATCTTGGAGCAGAAGACTGTCTGGAAAGGGGAGGACTATACAGTGACCTGCTACAGGGCTGAGTCATGAATCATAGAATCATAGAAGATGATCTAAGAATCATGGAAGAGACCTCAGGAGGTCATCTAGTCCAACCCCTGCTCAAAGCAGGACCAATACCAACTAAATCATCCCAGCCAGGGCTTTGTCAAACCGGGTCTTAAAAACCTCTAAGGATGGAGATTCCACCACCTCCCTAGGTAACCCATTCCAGTGCTTCACCACCCTCCTAGGGAAATAGTGTTTCCTAATATCCAACCTAGATCTCTCCCACTGAAACTTGAGACCATTGCTCCTTGTTCTGTCATCTGCCCCCCACTGAGATCAGCCTAGCTCCATCCTTTTTGGAAACCCCCTTCAGGTAGTTGAAGGCTGCTATCAAATACCCCTCCCCCCACTCTTCTCTTCTTCAGACTAAATAAGCCCAGTTCCCTCAGCCTCTCCTCATAAATCATGTGCCCCAGCCCCCTAATCATGTTCGTTGCCCTCCACTGGACTCTCTCCAATTTGTCCACATCCTTTCTGTAGTGGGGGGCCCAAAAGGGGACACAATACTCCAATTGTGGCCTCACCAATGCCGAATAGAGGCGAATAATCACTTCCCTCGATCTGCTGGCAACGCTCCTACTTATGCAGCCCAATATGCCATTCTCTTTCTTGGCAACAAGGGCACATTGTTGACTCATATCCAGCTTCTCGTCACTGTAATCCCCAGGTCCTTTTCTGCAGAATTGCCGCTTAGCCAGTTGGTCCCCAGCCTGTAACAGTGTATGGGATTCTTCCATCCTAAGTGCAGGACTCTGCACTTGTCCTTGTTGAACCTCATTAGATTTCTTTTGGCCCAATCCTCTAATTTGTCTAGGTCCCTATCCTCCAGCATATCTACCTCTCCCCCCAGCTTAGTGTCATCCGTGAACTTGCTGAGGGTGCAATCCATCCCGTCATCCAGATCATTAATGAAGATGTTGAACAAAACCAGCCCCAGGATTGACCCCTGCGGCACTCTGCTTGATACCGGCTGCCAACTAGGCATCAAGCCGTTGATCACTACCTGTTGAGCCTGACAATCTAGCCAGCTTTCTATCCACCTTATAGTCCATTCATCCAGTCCATACTTCTTTAACTTGCTGGCAAGAATACTGTTGGAGACCGTATCAAAAGCTTTGCTAAAGTCACGTCCACTGCTTTCCCCATATCCACAGAGCCAGTTATCTCATCTTAGAAGGCAATCAGGTTGGTCAGGATATATAACAGACAGAAGGCTGATTTATAATCCAGTCTATTTGGGACTATAAGGTCATTTTATTTTAGAACATCAAGTGGTATCGTGATCTCAATTAAATTCTAAAACAGATTCTTTCCATCATCCTGTTAAAGCAAGCAAGCAGGCTTCTGCCTTTATATCACAGGCTAGAGAAATATACTAGTTTTTAAGTGTTTTATCGAAACAGAATTTGTGAAATTCAGTAGTTCATTTAAAAAATTCACCTGTCTCCACAATTTAGAAATGTTTCACTTTTTGGAAGAATTCAATATATTTCTTTCTAAATGCTTACAGGCACATGGACTTTTCGAAACATCTCAGCTCCTTTGCGTGCATCCAGTAAAGCAATGTCTTGTGGAGTGGAAACAATCACTGCCCCTGGGAACAGAAAACATAAAATTAGGTTTAAAACTTATACTCTAAATTATACTACCAAGCTTATTTTGGAGTATTTTACTTCACTGAAGAAAAAGTTGCTTCTTTATATACTTAAAATATATGCAAAATAAAATAAAATAAAAATGATCCTAAAGAGTTTAGTTTTAGATTATAAAGTGACCAGAACCAAGGTTCCCAAATTATGGTACAGAGAGTTAAACATTATATGCTTTCGAATATTATTTTTGTATGTAAACAATTGTTGTAGTTGCTATATTGTTGGGAGGGAAAGGGAGTGGCCCATGCAATCACGGAAGGGAAAAGAGATGCTCCATGAGACAACATGTTCATAAAAATGTGGTCCACTGTATGAAAAAATTCGAGAACCTTTGGATTAACAGTAACAATAGCCTATCTTCAAGTAATAAGGCAGACACCCTGTGACCAGCCCACTGCCTTTGTGGCAGGGTTATGCCAATTAATACAAGTGATCTATGGTCATGAGCCTGCAACCCCTACACTAGGAATAGTTCCTTTGAGTGCTTTAGGATTTCTTATGTGTACAACACTACTTGCATGAGGAAGAATTTGTTTATGCTTTGGCTTTTAGGTTTGAAAGGGGCAAAGAGTGACTCACTGCTCAGGCAGGAGTTTAGGCTACTCAAGATCTGTCTCCAGGCTACTTGCCTACTGATAGCTAGTGTTTCCATTATTACTCAATATATAAATACCGACTACAGCCTAGCAATAGGATTTGCCTCTGAGTACAAATTAAAGCATTTTACAAAAGTTTATATCAAGGCTGCTGGTTACTATGCTATAATGTTCCTGGATTAATACATTCTGAAATAATGATGTGAACAACACCTTTTGCATTCACTTCTAACAGTAACTCCTGCATCCCACAAATGCTTTTGGGTAAGAAGCACTACTATGAAAGTCTGGATTAAAAATGTTCTCATAATTTTCCCTATTCCGAAAAAAGAATGTAGTGTGAAAGATCACAGTTTGGGGGAATTGTTTAGCTCTAGTTTCATAAATAGCATCAAGTCTCTCAAATATTTTTTACCACAATGCTCTTATATAATCATATTGACCTACAAACACAGGAAAAATATGCCAGACTTCACATGTAAAACAATTAAAAGTTACAATTCTACACATACAAAATAATCTAAGAGAGGCAGAGTAACACTATGTGCTGAAAACTATATGCAATTTGCTAAACAAATATAATTTCCCTATTGTACTGTGATGCTACTGATCTCCAATAATTCCCATTTTTTTCTATTCGCTCTCAGAATTTTATCTTCTAAAGTATTATTGCATATTCACAAATATATTTTATATGTACAGATATTAATAAAATGTTTTCAATTAAAAAAAATTAAAAAGATCCTCTCCTCATTCCAACTCTGTGGTATGGAAACAGATCAACATTTCATATGTAATTTATTTACACTCTGTGAAAATTTACATAATAAGCTTTTTATATTCAAATATTCCAATAAAAATTAATTTAAAGGCATACATAGGAAAAAAACAATTACTGTGTAATCAAATGAAGAAACTAAAATTGTCCTTGTTATACATAACAAAAGCAGTAAATTCCTAATGGGGAAAATTATATTAGATACTTTCATGCCTTGTCACACATGAGGCAACCTGTGTTTCCATCTCCGTCTAGTGCCATATTTCTTGCTCCATTGTAGTCTACTTCCATGACAGAGACATCTTTCTCAATGGTTTTATGATGTCATGTTCTCCTCCTCTTTTTCATCTTCCACCAAGTGATATTGTGTCATGGGTTTGTCTAGAAATAAGGGTTTTTTTACATCTGTACAATATTCCCAAACCACTTCAGCCTTCTTTCTCAAATCATTGTCTTTACATCAGCATTAGTTACTATTTATTCCACCAATGGACACCAAGTATTCTCAGCAAGCATCTATGTTGGAATACATCAAGTTTCCTGTTATGGGCTTCTGCTATTTGTCCAGTTTCAAAAGCATATAACAATACTGGTATCATAATAACATTGTACAATTTTATTTTGGTTCTTGTGCAGAGGTGAAAGTAAGCCGGTACGGCGTACCGACAAGACCCAGTGCGCCGTGCCGGACTGGATCAGCTTCTGCGGCGGTGATTTAAAGGGCCCAGGGCTCCAGCCGCTGCGGGGAGCCCCGGGCCATTTAAAGCACTGCTGGAGCTCCGGCAGCTGGGCTCGGGCGGGGATTTAAAGGGCCCAGAGCTCCGGCCGCTGCGGGGATCCCCAGGCCCTTTAAAGCGCCACTGGAGCTCCGGCAGCCGGGTTTGGACAGGGATTTAAAGGGCCCAGGGCTCCGGCCGCTGCGGGCAGCCCTGGGCCCTTTAAAGCTCCACCGGAGCTCCCAGCTGCCTCTGCAGCTGGTAGCTCCGGGGTGATTTAAAGGCTATGGGGCTCCCAGCCACAGCCAGAGTCCCAGGGCCTTTAAATCTTGAAAGGCCCTGCCTCTTCCAGTTGAGGCCCCGCCTCTTCCGGTTGAAGCCACGCCCCGCTCAGGACTCCGGCGTACCGGTAAGTCCTTTAAGTTACTTTCACCCCTGTTCTTGTGTGAGTCTCCCTGTTTTTCCAAATATTTGCCAGTCACAAAAAAGCTCTACTTATCTTCCCAATTTTTGCTTACACCTCCTTACAGAATTGGCACTCAGCACTAACTGTGCTTCCAAGATATACAAAATCACTAATAATCCTGTAGTCTTCACTATCAATCACATAAGCACCATCAATGCTAACTCCTCTTTCAACAATCATGACTTGCATTTTCTTTTGGCTTATTCTTAATCCTACTTTAGCACCTTTACTTTTAACATTGGTAGTTATCATTTTCATGGCATCATAATCCATGTCCAACATGTCATAAGCAAATTCAAGAGCTTAAAGTTTTCTTCTACTCCACATAACTCCTGTATCTTCCTTTGATGATGCTCTATCATAATGCAGTAAAGAAAGGGTACTAAAATGCCGCACTCCAGTGAGGATATCAAACCAATCGGCCTCTGTCTTTCTCTCTCTCACAGCATTTTGAACTTCATAAAGCATCTTGATCAGCAACACTTTCTAGGAAACTCTTTTGTTGCAAGATCTTCCTCAGCAACTCTCTATGAATGCATTCAAAAGCCTTGGTGAAATCTATGAATTTCAAGACTAATCTTCTATCATAGGAGAGCCCTTTCTCAATCAATCGTCTCAGGATAAAGATGTGATCTACACACAATCTTTCTGGTCTAAAGCCTGCTTGCTCATTACAGTTTTTCATCTATGTCCAGTTTGACTCTGTTCCACAGCATACTGCAAAACACTTTTCTGGGTACTGAAAATAATGTTAGTCCTCATAAGTTATCGTATACCACTTTTTCTTATAATATTTTACTGATCACACCTTTCTTCCAATCCTCTAGGCAAAGTTCTTTTTCCCAAACTGTATTAAAAATTAATATCCAGATTCATCCTTTTGAAGGTGTGCCTTGAGGAGAAAACCCATTGTCTAGCTGATTACCTATTATACAGTCTCCTCGAAGACCAAAATGGATAAATAAGTGACTCAGATTCACAAGTGTGCTTGTTCTGAGCCAAAGTGGTTATGATGTAATCACAGGAAAGATTCTTGGAGGGGTTTAAAGGATTGTTCACCAGCCACAGCCCTTGTTGGAATCACGGGGCAATCTCAGGTAAGCTTAGTAGTATGTGCGTAGGTTCTTTTATTGGTTTTAATATGTTTTCTCTGTAACGTTTTTACTATAAGAATAAGTGTGCTTGCTTATAAAGAACTATGTGGTAAATGAACTGTGGCAATTACACTATTTGTTGCCTTTGAAGAGTAAGCAAAGCACAGAGGCATCCTGTTTAGTGAGTCTTCTTTGCTGGGGAATAACATGGTGTAGGCAGGGAACTGTGCAGCCTGGAAAAAATCTCAGTAAGCAGGGAGAGAGATGTGGGTCTCCGCCCAGCAAAGGTGATGGCTGGAGAACTGGACAACTGAGAGTGGGTGTCCTTGCTGGACCATGGAGGGGGAATATAGGTGCAACTGCCCTGAACTGTGACAGACACCACTGTGACTTTGGAATCATGATGATAACTGCTTACACACTGGGAACAATTTCTTGGAGTTGCCTCTCATTTATACTTCTTTGGCTTTTCTCGCTTTTTTTTTTTTGGTCAAGCTATTCTTTCATCTTTCGGATAAAACTTCTTTACTTTTAACTTTTTCTGCATACTCCCATTGCAGGATGTATTATTGTTTGCCATATTGTAGCTGCTTAATTGCGTTCTCTATTTCTGCTTCTAAAATTGGACTGGACGAGGAAGACTCCATTCAGACCGTATTCAGTACCCTACTCAAGCAGGCAAGATGACATTCACGTGGAGGGAGTTGACTAATCCTTGACAACACCAACTCTAGTGGAATGGGAATTAGTTGACTCAAATTATAAGAGCATGTTTTGTTACAAATCATGATAAATTTATTATCCTCCAGTGTTATAGAGGAACAATAGGCTTGCTTTAGAGATATTTGCTGGAAGCCGCCCCAAATTCACTTGGATCAAGAGAATCAAGAAGTTTCACACACAGAAACTGATTAAGGAAAGAAAAGCCTTAAAAGAAAGGCCAGGATAGGTGACACAACAAGAAAAACAACCAACAGTGCAACGGCAGTATCTAGAGCGGGGGTCGGCAACCATTCCGAAGTGGTGTGCCGAGTCATCATTTATTCACTCTAATTTAAGGTTTCGCGTGCTAGTAATATGTTTTTAGAAGGTCGCTTTCTATAAGTCTATAATATATAACAAAACTATTGTTGTATGTAAAGTAAACAAGGTTTTAAAAATGTTTAAGAAGCTTCATTTAAAATTAAATTAAAATGCAGAGCCCCCCGGACCGGTGGCCAGGACCCGGGCAGTGTGAGTGCCACTGAAAATAAGCTTGCGTGCTGCTTTTGGCACACGTGCCATAGGTTGCC